TTAATGCCACATTTTGCTGTCTAAGTAGAACCAATCTTCTTTATTAACCCATCTGGCATTTAGCCCATTACATGTGAACAGGGGCATCGTGACCCCTTAACCATGCAGTCTCAGCCAGAATGGGCTGACTTCAGTGGGCTAAAAAAATTAAGGAAAGAGGGAATAAGTCTCAGAAACATTGCCATATTTCTCCTAAAACATTTATCCCAAGACAGATTTCTTATATTCTCCCTCAACTGACTGGTTAGAACATTGTAGTTCTCCTAAATTTGCCCTTCTATTAGGTTTGAGGAATACTCTTATCCCACAGGGCTCTTGCAGGCCAAATATGGAGGCATCATAGCCAGAGCAAGAACAGAAACTGCTGGTGGTTTTGGTTGTTGGTGGAACCAGCCTGGAAGGAAGTGGGAGGTCTGGACTCTCAGCAAGGCAAAGGACTCGCTGGAACCGCAGCCGTAGGTTCCTGGCACAGCCAGTGGCTACTGCAGCGTCCAGCTTGTGGCCACAATTGGAAAACATTCAGATTTCAAGACTTTCTCTGTTATTTGTGCCAGGAAACCGGGCTGCATGACTTTCAGAGCTAAATTTAGGTTCACAAGTATTTCACATTCCCCAAACACCTTCTATGACAACATCTCAAAACCCTTCAAGAGCATTAGCTATTCCTCTTTATCTTCCTTTGAGATGGAAAATAGAAAAGCCACTTAGCTGGCAACAAACAGAGCCATGAATGTTGACTTGCTCATGTCACAGAGGAAAACCATGGTGGACTTGGTACAGAAAAGAAGAAAAGAGAAAGAAAACCAGCCTCCGAGTGTAAAGTGCTCAGATCCTGCAGTCACAGAAACATGGCCTGCCACCTGCAGAAGTGCTGCTGGGATTAGGTAGGAATAACACCATCACTACTGCAAAATTGTTTGGGTTAGGGAGTTCTGGTAGCTCTCTGTTGATATTTTTTTGAGGGCTGGGGTGGGTAAGAGTTTCCAGAATGAGCAATCCTTATGGGGGAAATACCCTATTCTACAGCCCTTGAACAGTGCCTCTATCCCCACACATCGCTCCACAATAACTTTGTGGCAAGAAAGTGGATGGCCTTAGCACCTGGACCTCACTTATTTTCAGCATGGAATGTAGTACAAAGCAGGCAGAGCTCCCCACCGTGCCCTTTGGCTGTGCTCCACAGGCAGATAGCCCAGTGACTGACAGCATTGTTCAATGCTAACAAACTCAAGCCAGTTTAGACTTTATGCCTCTATTATTTTAACAATTTTTTTGTGATTATTTTTGCTAAAGAGAATTTAAAAGCCTTACAGAAGCAGATACAGTCACCTGGGAAACCTTGTTGTGTTCTTTTGGGTTGATCTGCTTGAGATCTCCTCCCATTTGCGTGGTCCTCCATCTTCCCCTCTGCAGGTAGCCTTCTCCCTGCAGCCACAAGGAGGTTTGGAAAGAGCAGAACTGTTCTGTCATTGTGTGCTCCCTCAGTGTGGCTGGCAGAGCTGTGGCTCTTGCACCACTCCCGCAACCAGACCTTCCCTCGCTCTCTGAGTGTCCCCTTCCCAGCACTGACCTACCCAACACAACACCAGCAACCCGAGCTCTGCACTGGCCACCGTTAATGGCAATGTAAACTCACTTTATTTAGGTGATGTCTGCATCTGTGGGATTTGAGGAACCAATAGGTGTGAGATGAAGGGTCACTCTCCTGTAACCACCACAGAGCTGCTTGTGGGAGCACCCTTGTCCAAGCCTGCATGTACCAGGCACCAGGACAGCTCTTCTGGGAAAGGACAGAGCTGCATCCATACAGAGGTCTCCTTACACACCTGTACCAGAAGCCCTACTCACAGCACTTCTGTTTACTTAGGTCCTCATGCCTTCATGAGCCTGGGTCAAGGGCTGATGCCTGCTAACATTGACTTTGGGCTGCTCATCTCTGAGTATATGAGAGCCTTTTCGTAAGGGAATCCTCCCCCGTTTCTGTCCAGTAATGAGATTTCTCAGCTTTAAAGCCTTGTTTTCCCTGGAAGAGAGAGAAGCTGCTGGAAGCCAAGCAGTGAGGGCACAGAGGAGCAAGGAGTGTTTGTTTGGAGGGTGTTATGGGTGGGAGTGATGTGCCAAGGAAGAAAACTGCTTCCAAGGATCTATATATACGCGGCTCCCTGAGGTGGGGTTACATAGAGGCTCATTCCGGGGCTGCCTGTGGCACTCCTTGAACATCAACAACCAGAACTGCTTCCAAGCTGCACGCTTTAGTTTCAGAGAGCGGCCTTGAGCAGCTGAGGAAAGATGGGGTTTGGTTGTGGTCCCTGCAAGCAGAGAGCATAAGCTGCCCAGGGTCACCACAGTGCTGGAAATTTGCACACTGCTGGTCCCAGTTCTGCACAGGACAGTGTAGTTTCAAGGTTGACAGGAAGGAGGAAGAGAGAGACACTCTTGGCAATAAAAGGTTTCTCCTGCATCTGCTCATCTCCATCACACACAATGAACATCCCTAGTGAGAGCCAGCAATGCTCCAGGTTTCCCTGCTGCATCGAAATCATACGCTGCTTTATTTTTCAGATCCTGAAGAAATGAAAAAAGAGAGCCTTTGCCAGCTGCAAATACAACTAATTCCCAAAGCCTGAAGCCAGTGCTTTTTGGTCCCTTCAAAACCTGTTCTGGCTAAGAGGGTCTGAAGAGGATCCCCAAAGCTGCCAGTAGTTCCTGGGAAAGAATGCAAGACTGCAGGATACCCTCAATGGTCCTGTTGCTAAATCTCCCCACCCTCATTGGCATCTGTCCAATGTGGGAGCCATGCACACCAGCACTGCCTGCAGTTATCCATCGTCTGATCGATAGGTTACAGTCACCCCCATGTGCTCCATTTTATAGCCCCAGGAGATGTGCCATAGAAATCTATACAACTCAATAGCTCTCTTTTATTTTTTTTAATAGAAAAATACCTGTTTGGTTAAAAAATAAATAAATAAACATATGAACTCTCACAGGTGATGTTCCATCCAAGTACTTTTTTTTCCCTGTGGATTAGTGAAATAAAACCAGCATAAAATATTCCTATAAAATAAGTGTTTGAAGATTTGAAGGGCTTTATTTTAATGCTTCACTTTCAGAAATAAAGATTGCCACAGAATTTGTTGCTTAGGAGTTTACTGTGAAAAGTGATAATAATTTTCAAGTGGCCCCTAGTGCTGAGGCTACCGTGAGTACCTGATGCTGTGGGTTAGTACACGACAAAATGCTGCTGTTAGAGACAGCAGACAGTGTGATGCCAGAGTGAGCATCAGCCTCCCTGCACAAGGCAGTGCCCTGTGCAATGCTGTGGCTGCTGGAGGACTGCCCTCTGCCCACAGCTGTGCTTATGAGAGTTCCTAAACCCAAGTTTGACACTGCAAAATGTAGGTCTTAGTCAGAAGGGGCAAGGATCTCCTGCTCCCATGGATTTTGATCAGACTGGAGGAGAGTGACATCACTCTCCCCCACCCCAAAAAATCAGCCCCTTCTGTTGTGGGTTTAGGATCCTAAATTAATTATGCAGGTGGAAATAGTGGAGTCTGCAAGTGCTGTCTAATCCACAAGGCTGCTCTTCTAAGTTAAGGCTTATTGTGCTTCTGAAACAATCTTTTAATCAAATAACAGAAGCAGGAAACCCAACATGGAGCTGTCAGATGAAATATGTGCCACTACACAAGTCACACAAATGGCAAGTAAAAGCTTGTGTTTGTTTTTTGAGAAGCAACTGTTTTTTTGAGAAGCAGCTACTTTCCAGTCCAACTCTGGTCACTCAGAGAGAAATCTCAACTGAGGAGCTCTTAGGGTTGCCCTGGGGCACTCTCTGTCCCCAGATACCAGGGAAGGACCAGGACAGCTCCTCCCACAGGCTTTTACTTTGGAATAGGACTGAAAAAAAGTGTACTCATGTATGTCTCACTTCAATGCAGGTAAACAAGTGCACCCTTAGCGTAGTCACAGCATAGCAAAAAACCTTCCTGGGCTGGAAGTTTATCTGAAAATCGTCTTTTTTATCCCAGCACTGCTGTCTCCCACAGGAAAGGAAGATTCCAAAACTCAGGGACTGCTTTCATGGCAAGGCCCTCTGCTCCAGAAGTCCTCCTCTTTCAAAGGCTGATGACTCCTGCACATGTGCACTGGCCCAGGGAGAAGTGCCAAATCTGGCAACACTTTAGGGTAGCTCCCTGAGGGAGTGGAGCCCTTGGGGTATGTATGCATGTGTGTGTGAATACTGGTAGCAAAGAGGGGCCCCAAAGCCCCAGAGAAATGAGACAGGCAGGGACAGCTTTCCCTCCTCCCACCCTGCTCTGCTTCATTGGCAAACAGGGCAGGCTAAAGCCTTCAGCAAGAGGAAGCACCTGGGATTTTCCTTTGGGCTCCCAGGGAGTTCCTGAATAAAGGATCTGATCCCTGGAAGGGGTGGTTTAGTGGGGCAGAGAAGAGGGTGGTCCCTTTGCAGGCAGCCCCTCATGCATGACCACCGGCAAGGGCAAGCGTGTCAGGCAGGGTGAGGAAGTGGCCCTGGCTGCCCTCATCCCCCCAGAGACAACATGATGGCAGGTGGGTTTCCCATAAGTGGAGTGGAAAGCTCTTTATTTAACCTGCACCCGCCACCTGCCCTCAGTCCCAGCCTTGCCTTCCTCGGGAGTCTGCCAGGGCTACTTTTTTGGTAGGCTGAGCAAAATGAAATCTTTTTCAAGCCAAGGCTCCAGGTAACCCTTTCCTGCCTGGGTCAGGGAGAAGCACTTTTCAGCGTGTCAGGGCATCCACCTTGTAGCAGTATGATGGAGCCACCCCCAGACTGCTCCAAGTGCCACCGAGGAGTCTGCACCCCAAGCAAGTCCCAAGGAGCTTGCTCCTCTGGCTGTGGTCCTGCCCCCTCCTCAGTCCTGCTCCTGTCTGGGGATGTCCAGCCCCACCACCCACTGCCCTCACGCTGGGTCAGCAAGTGATGGAAGAACCCAAGCAAATGACCACAAACAACCGCATTAGGGGTGTGACAGAATGACTGATGATTTAATGCTTCTTGAAGTTTGTTTCCTTCCGCAGGGCATTGGTTTTAAAAACAAACAAAACGAGATAAAATAAATTAATTTATGTACACTTTACATACACTGTGTCACATGGAGCTTTGCAGCAACAGTAACCAGAAATCATTACAAAATAGAAAGTTACATGGCTGTTGCAGGCCCTCTGCAGCCTGCAACCTAGAAGGTTGTCATCCTGAGCGTGGTTGGCAAAGTGATCATGTAAACATGTTTAGAAGCATTTACGGTGAACAATGGATGGACCAGCTTCATCGTATTCCTGCTTTGTGATCCACATCTGCTGGAAGGTGGACAAGGAGGCCAGGATAGAGCCACCGATCCAGACAGAGTACTTACGCTCAGGTGGGGCAATGATCTGGAAAAAGCCAAGAGAGCTGAGATCAGTAAACAAGCCACTGCTGCAGGTGGCAGGCACAGGGGTGTGCACAGCCCCGAGTCCTGTGCGCAGCAGGGCAAAGGAAGGGTGGTCCTATGCCTGGGTCCTTTGTGCTCCAGCCTTACCTTGATCTTCATTGTGCTGGGGGCCAGGGCTGTGATCTCCTTTTGCATGCGGTCAGCAATACCTGGGTACATGGTGGTACCCCCAGACATGACATTGTTGGCATACAGGTCCTTCCTGATGTCAATGTCGCACTTCATGATGCTGTTGTAGGTGGTCTCATGGATCCCTGCAGACTCCATACCTGGGGGCAGAGAGGGAGAAACAAGCAGGCACAAGTTAATTGCAAAGCTACTCAGGAGAGAAGGAAGAGCTGTCAGAGAAGGAGAGAGGGAGGGGGTCCCACACACCAATAAAGGAAGGCTGGAAGAGGGTTTCTGGGCAGCGGAAACGCTCATTGCCAATGGTGATGACCTGCCCATCAGGCAGCTCATAGCTCTTTTCCAGGGAGGAGGAAGAGGCAGCGGTGGCCATCTCATTCTCAAAGTCCAGCGCCACATAGCACAGTTTCTCCTTGATGTCACGGACAATCTCGCGTTCAGCTGTCAGGGGGGAGCAAAGGCATCAGTGATTGCAGAGAAGGAACCCGGAACATTTGCACCACCTCCATAGGTCTACTGGGACTCAAGACCCCCAGCCACACGTGAACTCCCAAAAAGGAGGGCTCATGGGGCTTGCAACAGGGTGACAGGCTGCAGCATCCCTGAAGGCGCAAGGGTTGGAAGTGTGTGGGGGACTTTTTGGAGGAGGGAATAGTGCTTACCTGTGGTGACAAAGGAATAGCCACGCTCAGTCAGGATCTTCATCAGGTAGTCAGTGAGGTCGCGACCGGCCAGATCCAAGCGCATGATGGCATGGGGAAGGGCATACCCTTCATAGATGGGGACATTGTGTGTCACACCATCACCGGAGTCCAGCACAATACCTGGGGAAACAAGAAGCAGCCACCTGAGAGATACAGCCCACAAAAGGTCCTGCCCTGGGGGGCAGAGCACTTGTCAGCTGTAGGGGACCAGTCCTGGGTGTCCTTGCTGAGGCAAGAGGGGCCAGTGGGACTTTGCACCAGTGGTACTCACCAGTGGTACGGCCAGAGGCATACAGGGACAGCACAGCCTGGATGGCCACATACATGGCAGGGACATTGAAGGTCTCAAACATGATTTGGGTCATCTTTTCACGGTTGGCTTTGGGGTTAAGGGGGGCCTCAGTGAGCAGGGTGGGGTGCTCCTCTGGGGCGACACGCAGCTCATTGTAGAAGGTGTGGTGCCAGATCTTCTCCATGTCGTCCCAGTTTGTGATGATGCCATGTTCAATGGGGTACTTCAGGGTCAGGATACCTCTCTTGCTCTGGGCTTCATCTCCTACGTAGGAGTCCTTCTGACCCATACCCACCATGACGCCCTGTAGGGGAGGAAAGCGGGGGCTCAGCATCCTCTCCACGGGCAATAGCACCGGGCTTCCCGGCAGGACAGGAGGATGGGAAGCGCTGGGAGGCAGCAGGGATCCACTGCCACAGCTGTGGCAGGGCTTGAGGGGAAGCTCGGAGGGGCACCGCGCCGTACCTGGTGGCGGGGGCGGCCCACGATGGAGGGGAACACGGCCCTGGGGGCATCATCCCCGGCGAAGCCAGCCTTCACCAGGCCGGAGCCGTTGTCGCACACGAGCGCAGTGGTCTCGTCCTCGTCGCACATGGTGTCGGCTGTGTCTGCGGGGGCACAGGGCGCAGGGGCTGAGCCTCACGGCCGGGCGGCATCCGCGGGCAGGGGAGGCGGGACGGGCTTACCTGGGCTGGCTGCGGGCTCCGCGTCGGGCAGAGAGAGAGGCTCCCGCTCCTCACCGGGTCACTCGTGGCCGCCGCGGCCGCCGCCGAGCCTTTTATCGCGGCGGGCGGCGGCTCGACCAGCCCCCAGGAATGCGGCCCCGGCCGTCCCCATATTTGGGTGTCGGGCCCGGCGCGGCCCCGGACCGGCGGTGCCCAAAGAAGGCGCTCCTGGCCCCGGCCCAGGTGAGCCGGGCCCGGCCGTATAAGGCGCGTCTGCTGGGCCCCCCCTGCCACCGCCCGCGGCCGGGGCCGAAATAATCCCCCGGCACCACCGGGCCCGTTAAGGGCAAAGCAGGTGGGGGCGGCCCGGCAGCCCCGGCGGGGCTCGGCGGGGTGGGAGGCGAGGGGTCATCGGCTGTGTGGCTACCACGTGCCAGGGCTTGGGGCTGCCAAGGGAAGAGCTCCCTTATGGGTCTTGCCTGCTGCTATAGGTGAGCCCACGGGAGAAAGAGAGTTGGGAGAGAAGGCAAGGTGTCAAGGCAGGTCTGTGGTTTGCAGGTAATACTGCTGTACATGGCAACAGCCCATGCAAAAGCCACAGCTTTACGTGCCAAGTTAAGCCGTGCATCGTTTCTTTGCTGTGGTTTAAAAATGGAAAATAAATGCACAGGATAACATCTGTCAGACAAATGCCTGAAGAGAAGCCCGGTGAAGCATTAATCCTGGTCTGATCCCAGCAGCCTGACGTAGCTGTGAATGCTGGTGCCATTACGAGTGTCCATTGCTGGCTTCTGAGCTCGGCCGGGCAACACGGGAATCCTTCAGCTATCCCTGTGGCTCACCCTTTCCAAAAGGAGCATAATCTCACCCACAAGTCATCTCTGACGAGCTGAAGGTACAGCTACAGGTATTTAAGCAGACATTCCATACAGGACACTTGGGAGATTTTACAGAGACATTTCGGTTACCAATGGAAAGAAGAGGCAGTAGTGCAAGCAGATTTGCAGCCCTGACACTACGTTGATATAAACCAACCTTCAAGACCTTCTCTGACAGCACAACTGGCCAAGGGTAAATCCTTTTAAAATTTAGGGAGTCAGAAGAGAAGGAAGAAGGAATAGCAGGCCAGAGGCACTCATGCTGTGAGGAGTCTCCTGCAAGCGAGGGTACTTCTGCAGGTGATTTCCTCCACTGCAAGGCACAGCAGATAGCTCAAAAGAGAAGATAGTTTTTTTTCTCCTCTGTTTAACTTCTGCATCCTGCAGCTTAGCAGCATCTCTCTTTATGCCTGGCAGCTCTCTACTTCCTTCTGCTATAGATTTTTAATTCCCGTGAAGTTATTGTATTAAAGTACGCTGAGGATAAAGAGTGCTTTTCTTTCATCCTGTTCCTCAATTTGTATTACTCTTCAGTTCCAGCAGTAAAAAAATCGGAAGTCTGAAAGCACTTAAAGGCATCGCAGCACCAAATCTATTTACAGAACTCTAGAGCTTCATTGTGGTTTCCAAAATACAGTCAGTTGTGTTGAATCAGAAATCAAGTAACAGAAACCCTAGTGTAGCTGAAAGATAAACATTCTTAATTCTTCAGTGAAACATGATGCAAGCATAAACCCTCTCTATCCCTTCTGTTCCCTTTCATTTTCTTTCTACCCCAATCTTGTTTACAGCAAAATGCCCAAATGGCAATGTTAAATTCTTCCAGTTCTGAGCAAAATATCATTTTCTGCAGGTAGATCTGATGTTTATCTGGACTCACTAAATGAATGTGGGTTTTGTCCCAAGTCAGAAAACAACTGGAGTTAGTTTGCAGTGCAGAGCTGGGCACTAAGGTCACTATTCCCTATGTGTAGCTTCTGAAATTGATCACAAATTATAACTGATAAACTTTCCTGCTATTCTGGCAACAACAAAGGATAGAAGTACATACATTCTGTACTGTGCATGCTTTTCAATACTGAGAAAATAACTATTTAAAAAGCAACATATACTTCCTTATTCAAGAGGAGCTATCCATGCTCCTTAGGCTGTTGTCCCAAGTTTATTTGTTTTTGTTACACTTGGAAACAAGCGAGAGCTCTGGTATGACCTTCTGTAAGCAGTGGTAAATGAAGGCATCCTCCCTCTGCAGTAATCTGAGACAGAAGTTCTGCACCAGCACAGCTTATTACATAATGAAGCAGAGGACAGAGAAAAGGAATAATCCCGAATCCCAGACTCTTCAAACTTCCCAACGGAATAGAGAACCAGCTCAACATTACTAGTACAAGAACATTAAACATCAGCTTAGACACGGAAGTTATTTTAATGAGGCTTTATTTAAGTAAACTCATTGCAAGTAGCCTTCTGTTTTGGCAATAGTCAGATGGAAAGCCATTGTACTAATGCCAAATGCCTCCCAACCAAGCAGTAGAGTAAAGCAGCTGAAAAGCCTACGTTTCCCAAAAACCTGGAGAATGCTTGTACACCAACCACACTAAACCCATCCCAGCAGAGAAGCCAGGCACTTTGAAACAGACAGTCAAGAATGAAGAGAAATGCCTGCTTCTGGAGCAAGCTTTCCAGGGTTTGCCCTGCCACTCCTTATAGAGTACAGATATCTGGTGAACAGTCAGGGAAGGGATGATATATCCCCAGAATGTTTTATGGTGGACAGTCAATTAAAAGGATTCCTCTTCAAGCAAAATATACGAGTCTAGTAGAAGTTCAGGTAGAACATATTTCTGTAAGGGGTGGCAATCATTTATAATTCTCTTTCTCCCAAACCCCTGCTAAGTTCATCAACATGAAACCATCCTCAAAGTGACATTTAAGCAAACAAGTGGAAGGCTTTAAATGACCCGCTCCTTTGAAGCCATAGCTGGGAGTTATGCTCACACTTTTCAGCCATGCAAGACTGCAGAAGTGCAAAGTTTGCTGCTTAGAACAATCTTAGAAGATGACTGCTAGTGCATTTCTTTCCCATATTAGTTAGAACCTCTAGATAAATCTATTCTTCCAAACATGTTCAGACTCTCAGCCCAGCTTACTGTATTAGTACAGGGAGGAGGGGAAGCCACGGAAGGGGAGCTGTGCTTTTAAAACTAGAAACTGGATTCTCTTCAACCAATTTAACTTCTGACCTTCTCAGCTGTTGGATCAAGTTGTTGCAGCAGGCATGGAGCCAGACAAGTAAAACATAAGGGCATGCAAGTTGCTCTGCAGCCACTGACTCTTGAGCTACATGCAAAAGAAAGGTGCAACACATCAGATCTCACTAACTTTTATTTAAAGATTAAAATCTGCTGACAATCACTGAAATTAAAATAGAGAAGTTAAATGGAATTTTTTTTTTTATTCCCATGTCAGAGACAACTAACTGGGGCAGTGGGGTAAAAGAAAAGAAAAAAGAAAATTAGTAGCATCTATCAGTAGAGAACAAGGTGCAGAGTAAGGAAGATCCTGTTGGACTCCCACACTACGGTAACTACTTTCTAGGTTTCATCTGAGCCTAGGCACGAGCAGTTGCTGTGAATGACTGCATGGTGAGCTGCTAATCTCATTTTTACATGTATTCTAGAAACAGCTTAAATGGAAGTTAAGTAGATACAATATTAAAATGTTTTGAAAAGGTTTAACCTTACAGATATAAACTGAAAGAATGGTATATTTACTGGACCAGAGAACTCTGAATGAGAACTGTACTTTATTCTTTTCTGTCACAGACAAGCTGAGTGATCAGTGACAAGCCAGTTATCCTTTTTGTGCCAGTAACCTCTAATGCAACATTGCAATTAGCTAGTTTCTACAGCAAAAAGTGTTGTACAGAGTGGAGTTATCCAACGGAATAACCAGTTGTTTCTTAAGTAAGCTATGCAGTCATCCAGCATTAATGTTTTCAGTATTTTCTCTGAACTGAAATCACAGCCCCAGGTGTTGACAGTAGAAGTTTCCCCACCTCTTGTGCTGGGTGTCTGTGTATCTTCTGAGTCTCAGGCAGGACTCATAGTAATGAAGATACAGAACAAAACAGAGAGTTTATGAAAGGCATGGAAAATGAAAACTTTATTTTTATTTTGCCTGAAAACACAACTCTGGCTCCCCTGACTAAAGCATCAATGTCTATACATTTAAGACCAAGTATATTACTACTCATATAGATTTTAGCACAATGTTAGCAAAAAACCGAACAAAACATAAAAAAGTATAAAAGCATTCAAGAGTTCTTTAGAAAAAATATTTAAAAAAACAGTGAGAATCATGCTTGTCCCTGAACATAGAGTTCATAGTTTGCTTTTAACACAAATTCGAAGTAAGCATTGTATTTCAAGTTGCCAAGTTCATTTGCTTGCAGCAAGTCCTTCACCTCTGGTAAATATTCACTTAACTGGACTCCTACAACACAAAACCATTCATTACAACACTGATAAAAGTACTTTTCACTAGTAGTTATGATAATTTTTAAGTAAACACCTCCTCCTGCCTCATTGTTAAATTACTCTTCTGGAATTGGGAAGCTCTAATTCTATTATACACATCAAGAAATACAATAAAGCTTAAGCAGGCTGTAAAACTGAGTTTAAAAAGTTAATAATTTTTACTTAAACAGAGTTCAATAATTTAATAATTAACCTCAAATCCAAGCTTTACATAACACTTTGACAAAATAAAAATAAATAATAAATAAAAGAAAGAAAGGGAAAGAGAAAAGAAAGCTCAGTCAAATAATTAAAATGTATCAGGTGCAACAGTTCATTCTGGGCTGTGAGACTCTTACAAGAGGAAGGAAATTGTCAGGATCAGACACACAAAACCACAACTGTTCTGAAAAACTTCATTTTTCTATTTTCCACATGGAACCTTCTCTGTTTTGGAAAAAGTTCATATGCAGTAATATTTAAAACAGACTTTGAGTCTCAGTTGCTTTCCTTCTCTCACTCCCTCCTCCAGC